TGCTCTTATCTTTCAGATTTCCTAGTCCATGAGCAAGGTGAAATTCTATATCCAGATTTAGGTTCACTTTATCTAGCCTGGGTGGAGGTTTAGACCTTTTCTAGAACTCAGTCTGGTTCTCTGAAAAAGGTTAAGCACATTCTTCTGAAATCGCCTAATTTGTCTAAAATGATGACCTATGCTTTCAAGTGGAAATGCGTTTCCATGTCAATTAATAACAAAATGTGCCTTGCTCTTGCTCAGTGTCTTTTATTCCGAACTACTGATTCTCCCTGAAGAAATCTTGTTCATCTTTCATCTAGATTCATTTATCTAGCAGCCACAGCAATAGTATCCCTACACTACAAGAATCTTCGACTTGCATACATTCTAAATGATTTCGTATAGGGATGATTCATTTTTATCTTTATCCTGCATAATCATTCAGCTTCATGTGTTCTTAAATTTAATTCTTACCAGACTTCTATCTGCATAGTTTGAGCCTATGGGGAGTGCTCTTTATACCGTCTCTCCCAAATTGCATTATTGGTTTAAATTATTTCCACGAGGTAGGTAAGAGAAATTCAGGCACTTATGGCAGATTGATCTTTCACCGACATCAACAACAAGGAGATGGTGTTACTTTAAGGATAAATTTAGGGTGAGAATGTATTTTTACAATTTCTCTTGAATTCATCTACTAATCTCCCACTCTTCTTCCCAGAATCACAAAGCTTCCCTGGGAAAGCCAGACTGGATATGAGTCGACAGTGTGCCCTTGTTGCCAAGAAGTCTAACGGCATTTTGGGCTGTATAAGTAGGGGCATTGCCAGCAGATCAAGGGACATGATCATTCCCCTCTATTCAACATTGGTGAGGCCTCATCTGGAGTACTGTGTCCAGTTTTGGGCCCCATACTACAAGAAGGATGTGGAAAAATTGGAAGGACTCCAGCGGAGGGCAACAAAAATGATTAGGGGGCTGGAGCACATGACTTATGAGGAGAGGCTGAGGGAACTGGGATTGTTTGGCCTGCAGAAGAGAAGAATGAGGGGGGATTTGATAGCTGCTTTCAACTACCTGAAAGGGGGTTCCAAAGAGGATGGATCTAGACTGTTCTCAGTGGTACCTAATGACAGAACAAGGAGTAATGGTCTCAAGTTGCAGTGGGGACGGTTTAGGTTGGATATTAGGAAAAACTTTTTCACTAGGAGGGTGGTGAAGCACTGGAATGGGTTACCTAGGGAGGTGGTGGAATCTCCTTCCTTAGAGGTTTTTAAGGTCAGGCTTGACAAAGCCCTGGCTGGGATGATTTAGTTGGGAATTGGTCCTGCTTTGAGCAGGGGGTTGGACTAGATGACCTCCTGAGGTCCCTTCCAACCCTGATATTCTATGATTCTATGATTCTGTGACTGCACAAATGAAGTTTTAAGTGCTGTAGGCTACCATTTGAAAAATTTGAACAAGAACAGATATTTTCAAAAATCAGTGGTTTATTATTTTTGAAACGAACTCAAGGAAGGAAACTCAAGGAAGGAAATAATCTCTGTTTAGATATTTTCAATATGGATCACAATCTGCAGAGATTTTCAAAATGAATCTCGCTCTGCGCTCAGATTTGCTATGACCAGGTAGGTGTCCCACTAAGCAGTGTCAGTCTACTCTTGTAGAGCAAAGGCAGGTTCCACAGCTTGACTGAAAAATGCAAACCATATACTGCTGAATTTTGTACAGCTGCTATATGGTTATTCAGCTTTGCTCTCTGTAGTCTGGGCCTAGATGGGATGCTTTTTTTCTCTATTTTTAGAGAGTAGTCCATCAATCTACATTCAATTAAGAATTCCTAAGTTCTT